CACTGCTGTTTGTGACTCTTGCTGAACTAATTAAGTTGAAGCAGATCGTTGGATGGATGACTTAGCTGAACGCCTTAACATGAGTTGATTATTGGCATTAGTAAACCAGGTCGCCACATTCTTCAGCAGGTTGTACGCGCTACGATGATGTTTACCATGGACCGCTCGGCTGGTGGGCGCCCTCGTCTGACCCAGTATCCTGCGTCGCACCGACTTCTGCTGGGTGGGCTTGCGCCCAGAACACGTCGCACACCGAACTGTAGCCTAGCGGCTCCATCATGTGCATCACGGACGGCACGGCAGTTGTGACCAGGCAGGGCGGGCGGCGCTGCAGGCAGAGCCGGGTGAGCTCGGCCATCACCACCCGCGCCAAGCCTCGCCGCCGGTGCGACTCCAGCGTGTGCAGGAAGCCCAGCACCGCGTTCCTGTTGAGAAGCACCCAGCAGACGAGCTCGCCGTCAGGTGATGACGCCACGTCATTGTCGGCGGCGACGAACACGCCGACGCTGAGGCCCGCCGTCATGCCGTCACGCATCGCACCGTCGGCATCGGCGGTAACCGCGGTGTACGGCCAGAAGCGCTTGACGGTGTCCAGGTGGATACTGTTCAAAGGCCTCACAGAGACGCCCGGCGGGCTGTGAACGAGGGTCAGGCGGACATACACAGTCAGTGAAAGCACTACCTGCCTGTGCTGCGTCACATGTTCCTGGGGTTAGTACATCCAGTCAGCAGGGTAGCGCAGTGTACATGGATGAAGGTAACAACAAAATTTCTGTGCCGTTCCACTATTTCCTAGATTTCTACGTAAACTATTAGTCTAATTAAGTCATGACGATTCGACACCGTCCGGGGTATATCGTCAACTGCAACCTCCTGGGGGTAGACCTTCCACCGACTATCTTTGGATAGACTCGTCCGATTCGAAACGTTCAAGTGGCAACCAACATTACGCAGGAACCTTGCTCAGGAATTGTTGACATGAAAAGCCACTGATGACGTCACAGGCTATGTAAATATCTTTGAGGATCACAAAAGTCTTTGAATGATTTAACAGCCCTTTTGTTCCCCGCGGTATTTGCGCCTGAAGTTGCGTATCTTTTGATTCGGCACCAAGCTAAAGCAGGTCCAAGAGTCACCATGCTAACACAGCGCCATCGGCCAGAACTGCCTTCCCTTTTTCCAAGGCAGCAGAGCACACGCACCAGCAGGTCGGCACATCTTTGGCCGACGTTGGCACCTCCTTGACGAACAACCGAGCGACAGCGCTGAGGTGTCTGGAGCTGAACCCTCTCTGGTGACAGACGTGATCCAGCACCGGCTCCAGGTAGCAGGGCCAGCGGTCGGCACGGAACGGCACCCGCCACAATCGCTCGTGCAGCTCAGGCGCCAGCATGGCGGCAGTCAGGCGACGCATGCTGGCTGCGTCGTCCGGCGCGAAGGCGTCGACCACGTGCCAGTCAGGCGCGGTCAACTATCGGAGGTCGGCAGGAGGGAAGCCGGGGTCAGGCCAGTCTGGAGAAGAATGAGCACATAAGGCCGGCTCAGCTCTGGCCTGGTCCACCGGTGAGGGAATGGGGCGTGCGATCACGGGGAGGGAGGGATTCCACAGGTGGAGGATAAAAGCCAGATGGGGATATTTTACTACCGTTAAAATCCAACTTTGTTACAGGTGGATATCCAATGCGCACGTTAATAGCGAGTGTCTAGAACCATTTTGTCCGGTCTTAAATCACCAGCTTTAGATAAGCAAGACAGACGTTCTGCCCTTGGTTCTTCGGCATTATGAAGTTAGAGATTGAACGAGGTTGTAGTCAAAGCAATGACTAATTTGTCAGTACGCAGCATTTCAAGCCAAGTTGTGCTTATGTTCACGTTTGGGTTCGACTGTATGCCCTCCCTGACGTTCAGAAAACAGAGGATATCATATCGGTGAGCAAGACAAGAGCACGGCACACAAACAGCCCACCTGTTTCCAGCTCTTCCAACGTGGGGTAAATGGTGGACATCATATCCTTGAGGACGAACCCCATGGGATCCATACTGGCTACATGACAACACCTCGACGTCATAAGGACGCCCTTGTCATCTCACCGGCGTTTGTAATGAGAAAAGCGCTGTTGAGAAAGGCGACAACAGCAAGGTCGATGCATCACTCCGTCCTCCGCTGAGGAAGGACCTGCACGTGGAACCTTCACGATGACGTCGATCGCACATCTGAACGGTTCCGCCTGAATCGAGACTAGATGTTTGTCCGCCTAGCTCGGAAACACGCAATGGAAATGAAAAGCGAAGCTGCTGTCGTTGGAAGCGAAGGCATTTGACGTGCCCATGAAAAGAAATATACATTTCTGGTAAAGTACGGTCTCTGGTTGTAGTATTAACCAGGCCAGTTGGAAGGCGTCCATTTCTGTTGGGATACTCCGCAGTATTCATGAGAAAAAGACCTGTTTGTTCACTAAGATACGGAGCGTTATTCAGTGGTTCGATTAAATAGTTTTTCCCCATGAGCTGTATCTGGTTGATAAATGCTGGCAATTCGAAATATATGAGTGGAAATCGTTGTTTTCTAGCAGGTCCAAACTAGAGATAACACTGATTGACGAGTCCGCTGTTTAGGGCGTAGAGAAATGACGCTACTATGGATGTTAAACATTCTTTGCCGAAGTCAAATTTTTCACCAAAGCAAGTGAGAAAACCAATGCCCAAAATGCAGTGACTTTTTGGGCCTCCAACAATTTGGAGCTTCAATGTTTTGCGAAACCCTGAGATCGCTCTCGGAAAAACGGCAGTTCCGAAAGTTTTATGGCTATGTCCAGAAACGGATTGAAGGAGAGCATAGCTATTTGTCGAGAACTCACCTACATGTTTGCGTGAGATTTTGTCAAAACCTTCGCGGCAAAAAAGGGAAAGGTCGGCGCTCGCGTTTTCAAGAGAATACGTTTACGATTGCCAAGGCATATCAAACACATCGGTGTGGCTGGTAAAAAAAAAAATCGTGCAATTTTGCCAGTGGAACCATTTTCACCATGGCTCTTCTTCTGCTCATCTGTCCCAACAGAGGACCGATTTAGCTTCCCGGTGCGGTATTTTTGAAGTCAGAGCCCTAGGGATTGTTTCAAGCGCAACATTTACGCTGACTGTGGCTTATTTTTGTGCAAATAGCGCAGGTGCGACGACCATGACCGTCGATGGCGTAAGCGCGCATGACTTTCCTTGTTTTGCTGTGAGTATCGACGTAGACGCTGAGGTTGAAATGTAGTTGGACCGAAATTTTCGGTAAGTTACCGGAAAGAAGAAGCTCTTGACTGCCTAGATTTATCTTTCCCTGACCCACGAAAATGACTGGCACGATCAAAGTCTACACTAGCCTAACTCTTCCACCAGCAATGAGACATCTGCTGCAAATTGGTACCGTGACACGGATTCGTTAATATCAACTTGCAAGTCGTCAGCCGTCAAGTTTTCTCCGTTGATCATGAGAAGCATGAGCCAACCCATCCTTCACCTGTCATTGAACACTTGAGCCTGTATCAAAGTGTGTGACAGCGTCAACAGCTTTCGGTCTTAAACACGCGTCCGGGGGGCTGGCTAGATAGCCCTCGCTCGGGTGGGGATCAATGTGACTCCCATGAAATCTCGGGAACTGAGAAAGGTAGAAACGCTAAATTTACAGGGTGTGTTGACCTGCACGGGACCTCACTTGAGGTTCCTAGATCATGACCTTCGGGCCAAATAAGGTCAAACAAGGTCAAAATCCAGGTTGGTTTCTTAAGTGCCCCGAGAACCTAGATAACTGTTTCTAAGCAAAAGGTCACACGCTCATCTAAGGCCAGCAACCTTTTTTGACATTTTGAAGGTCAGGGTGACCAAAACCATACAAGACTGCTCTGAGTTTTGCATTTGAATAAGCCACAAAGATTACGCTAGGCAGTATGCTTCTTAAAAACAAAATGCTGACCCAGGTCATTTTAGGTCCATGACCTATTCTGGCCTCTAAGAAGTCCATGAAAAGTGCATAATGCGGTTCCTCCTATTAACAAATTCGAGATGAGCACCAGAAATTATCTCATACGGCAAGCCCTAGGGTAATAAAACAGGTTGGTCATGACCCCGGTCTGACCTTCATGCCTGACTTTAGGTCAACGTAATTTGCTTATTCAATACTTGTGTTGCCGAAGAAAGCATCTCAGAGATGTATGGTTTCGTTTAACACTCCGTTGTTGCATCAGATTAAACGATTCCCTAGAAATGGTCTTTGCTGAGACCATAGCCTGACTTCGACCTGCTATAGGTCAGTGATCGTACAAGGTACATCTCAATTTTTGATGTCAAACGATTTGCTATTTAATTGGCTACATCCATGCAAGGTTTGGCACGGCTACGCCGCGCCGTTCGGAAACCATTTGGGAAAAACCTTCGTGGGGTCAATTTGACCCCCACCCGAGCGCGTGTTAATCAACGCCTTCATATAAGCAAGAAAGGCGCTCAGCTTCTGTTGCTCGGCAGTGTGAATTCAGGAAAAAACGATGGTATATGCCAAGCAATGATATCTTGATATCTTGTCAGCACACAGCATTTTAAGCCAAGCTGTGTCTTTGATCACGACTGTATTGACAACGACTGAGTAACACTTTCGGCTCATTATATTAAGCCAACTTGGAGCGTCGAATAGGTCAATGCATCCCATGCTTGCTCTACAACGTCTTTAGAGTTATATCTCCTGGTATATGAAAGGCTGATTACGTAGGCATAACAGCTCTAAACTCACGAAATTTCATCCACAAAATCGTTCTTCAAAGCAGCAAGCACCCACGAAGGCCTTGCGAACGTTTCCAATATGTTAATTGAGTCTTACAGGAATTCCTGCTTAAGGTACAATCCAGCTGTCAAATTTGAATGGACCTTCCGCTGCATGGGGATCATTTCAGCATGTTCTTTATCCACTGACCGTGATTACAATAGACAACCAGCGGCTTCGACGTGTCGGAGCTTGCGTAGAATCCAATGCTTGCACGTGTTGATACCGCTCTGAATAAGGAGCAGAAGACACCGCGTCTGTAAGGAAAGCGGGGGGTCCATAATTAGGTGACAATGGTTAGCACGCCATCATCCGGAAGCCTTCTAGGCTGACGGCGATAAAGAAGCTTTGCAAAATCCATTGGCTGAAAGTGTTCGACATATGTGCGGTGAAACCGAGACGAGAGTGAGGCGAGGGCGAACTAGCACCTTTCGGCTGACTAGTATCTACGGCTCAATGAATATCGCAGGTTGCTTTGCTGTGTTAAAATTTGAGTGAAACGTCCTTCCTCCTGGGTGAATAATATGAGTGTAGCAAAACAAGCGTAAATCTAAGTGCTCTTTCACAACGTCGACAGTCGTACAGCGAAACAATCATGGTACGGTGATGCCTGGGAAGGGGGTTTTGCTAAATGTAACTGGCCGGATTCCATCCGGCTTATAGCTCATTGCTTCTTAACGCTAGCGATTGTGTTGTTTACCCGTGTATCTCCTTTCCATTTGCAAAGACTGCTTAGAGATTTCCCTTGCAAGATGTTTGTCGTTTAACTTAAAATCGGAAACAGTGATGGGAAATAAAAGCGAGGCCGTCATTGTCAGAAGCAAAAGCATTTGACGTGCCCTTGAAAAGAAAACAATGCATTTATGGTACCTAACAAGCCTTCTTACGAAGTAGAACTCATGTAAAACCGGTTTAACTAAACATATGTAACCAAAGACCGTGGCAAAAGATCATAAAAATGCTGCACATTACTCGAATTCACACAATATACCTCGATGCAAAGTACAAGGAACATTTCGTCGTCGCTTCTTCGTTCTGGCTTTCAATACGCATCCGATATAAGGCCAGGGTAATCAACACTGTAATGCCTCTATACAGCATAATGAGCCCCAAATTCCCCCAAGCGGGACTTCCTTGACCAGTTAACAGTTAACTTCGTTTGCTTGTGAATTCTTTACTATTACGAACAATTGTTCTTGGTCGTCTAGGCTCAAAGGCGTCCAATTTGATGTGTTTTTGTTGTTAGGAAACTGCATCCGCTCGGTCGGTTACGGATTCCTTCGGAGCCTTTAGGTTCCCTGGGCATGTTTCATGGGGGTATGGTCCCGTGCCTCAAGATTTGGCCAAATTTGGCGCGGCGGCCCCGCGCCGTTCGGAAACTATTCCGGAAAAATCTTCGGGGGGTCAACGTGACTCCCACCCCAGCGCGTCTTAAGTCACAGCTCGGTCTCCGGCGTTGGCAGCGCTGTCCAGCCTGTAGAGGTCGTTGATGGTGTGGTTGCTTGAGCTTGGGCCGTGGCAATGGTTTTGGAAGCTGGGGACTGAAGCTCCCCACCCAAATCAGAGCCCAAAAGCGAGACGGCCCATTGGTCGTCTCCTTTACCACAGAATGGATTACTTACAACGCTGATGCGCATCCCTTTTCTTGACGTAGCACAGGCGCTGTAACGGAGACCTCGTTTGCGTAAATATTGCATGCGTTACCTTCTACAATCACCATCCAATTCACATCTTAGTCTCCAAATAGCGTGACGGTGTGCTGAGCCGGGGTTTAGTTTGAACTTTATAGCAATACTCAAATCACTCGTCAGCATCGTTCACTGGTCGCACCGCGGCTCTGTAAACAACATGTAGCCGTACCTTGGACTGTGATAACATCACAGAATGTGATGTCGTTGAAAATGTTTAATACACATGGCCGTGCATCTGTGAAGCAGTCTGAGTTCTTTCACGGCCCATTTAAACCTATGACGTAGGTGAAGTCTTGCGGCTCAGGACACTCACCTTCGCTGTGATTGGGCCATATGCCTTCAGACGAGCCACGAGATGGTCTATATCCCCTTCGTTTATCACCTGTACGTCCTGTTTGTTCATGGTCGGACCGAGCATGAGCCCTCACCGCCACTGGCGCGCCGATAAAGCCGACTGACAGCTGCCCGTGGGCGTGCCAGACCCATGGTGACAGGAGGCCCTGCTCCGGCCCGATAGTGGCAACACCAGGTCTGAGATCTCTCCCTCTCAAGGCCGTTCTCGGCTGCAGGCGACAGCGGACCGTCCTGGCACGCCTCCTGTGCCAAGGTCGGGGTGCGCAACGACCACAGAGCATGTGTCCTCCATGGCCTACAGCGCACCTTACCGCGAGATGGCGTTGCGCGCGGCACATCTATCCACCTCGGGCCGCCTGCTGCGTTTTCCAATGAGCGAGTACGGTTTTTGTTTGTCACGTTTGCTTGGCGTACGCTCCGGAATGCGCGCCAAGACGACCTAGCACCTAGCGAACACGCTACGGGACGAGTTTGACCACATTATGCGAGGCACCGTTTTAACTCGGAAAACGCCATGTCGTTCGATTGCCAACTTATTTCGACGTTTGATAGTACCGTCACAGCCATGTTTGAGAATGGTTGTAAACGCTGTGTACGCATAGAAGTATTCAGGGTTGTCGATTTCCCAAAATTGTTGGGGGGACAGAGTCTTTGAAAGTTACCGTATAAGGAAAGTTACGGTGAACTTCTCGGATATTACCCATTTTTGTTTCTGGCATGCAATGATATATATACATACATACACATGCACACGTTATATATATATATATATATATATATATATATATATATATATATATATATATATATAGACGCTTCAGAGTTTGTATTTATAAACTTTGACCGGCAGTTATACGCGCTACGATAATGTTCTCGTCGGACCGCCCGGCTGCTGGACGCCATCATCTTACTCCGTTTCTTGCGTCGCACCGACTTCTGCTGGATAGACTTGCGCCCAGAACACGTTGCAGACCGAACTGTAGCCTAGCGGTTTCATCATGTTCATCACGGACGGCACGGCGGTTGCGACCAGGCAGGGCAGGCGGCGCTGCAGGAAGAGCCGGGTGAGCTCGGCCATCGCCAGCCGCGCCAGGCCTCGCCGCCGGTGCGACTCCAGCGTGTGCAGGAAGCCCAGAAACGCGTTTCTGTTGAGCAGCACCCAGCAGACGAGCTCGCCGTCAGGTGATGACGCCACGTCATTGTCGACGGCGAACACGCCGACGCTGAGGCCCACCGTCATGCCGTCGCGCATCACACCGTCGGCATCGGGGGTAACCGCGGTGTACGGCCAGAAACGCTTGACGGTGTCCAGGTGCATGCTGTCCAGCGGCCTCACGGAGACGCCCGGCGGGCTGTGAACGAGTGTCAGGCGGGCATACAGTCAGCGGAAGCATCAGCTGTCGACCGCGCGTGACATCCCCTGACGTTAGTACATACAGTGAGCAGGGTGGTTCAGTACCCGGGTGAAGATTACAGCAACCTATATGCAAGCTATTTCAGTTATGTTGACCCGGCACCGTTTGGGATATTTCGTCAACCGCAACCTCCCGGGGGTAGAACTTCCCCGGATATCTCAGAATAGCATCGACCGATTGGAAACATTCAAGTGGCAACCAACCATTCCGGAGGAGCTTACCCGCGATCTGTAGACATAAGGCGACTGACCACATCGCAGGCAACGTAGGAGGACCGCACAAATATTCGTACGATTTGCTACGGCCCTGTTGTGTTTGGTCGTACTGTTGCTCCTTGTCCTATATCTTTTCACTCGACACCAATACAAAATACTCGACATTCTGGCGCTTTAGAATCTCGTCATGATATTAGCAATAGTGTAGGTGGTCTGCTCATCCTCGTCTCTGATTCTTTGGGGGCATTAACACGCGCGTGGGTGAGGCCAGTTTGACCCGCGAACGCTTTTTCCAAAATGATTTCCGTACGACGCGGTCAAGTGGCGCCAAAACTTGGCAAACTGGAGGCAATTTTATGACAGATGTTTTTGTTCACAAGATTGAAATGTGCCCTGCAAGGTCGGTGTCCCATTGCAGGTCAAAAGCAGGCTGCTTCTATCACCGAAGTAGCATTCTGCTGCACCGTTCAACTGCACGCGAGAACGAGTTATTGGACGAGACCATACATCTCTGGAATCGTTTGTGATACATTAGGCAAGCAAATTTAGGATTGCGACACATCACCTTGGCCTTTGGTCAGCTTTGAAGATAAGACCGAGTCGAACCCAATCTCCTTTTTACGGGAGTGCTTGCGTTATGGGGAAGTTTTAATGATCATTTTGATTTTTTATAACAGCCAACATAAGCGACTTTCCCTGAACTTCTTACATGTTCAGACTAGATCACTGGCCTAAAATGACGAG